TCCGTTTCTCAGCGGAACGAACGTTCCGGAACGAACGTCCTGCGTAACAGGAGGACTATAAAGGCGTGTATCAGGTACGAAACGAATCATGTACTGGATTGTAGATAGTCAATACGGGATTTGTACCTCTCGTAAAAGAGAGAGATATCGCTGGGCCCCTCGTGTGAGCAAGACTGTAGAAATGTGTGGCCGCACTATAGACGAACGTCGTCTATTTCAGACAGTCGAACTCAGTGAACGAGAAAGCAGTCGAATCAGATAAGGTGGCTTGTCCATGCCTTATGTTCGACATATGATATCGCGATACAAAAGGATCATCAGTCGGAATCATCACTGGCTTTCGTATGATCACAAACAAACTCTATTCGAGATAGGTAGTCATAGTGTCTTGCTAGAGACCGCGTATGACTTGTATTACCGGAATGGAGATTCTGCGTTTTACTGCTATTCCGGATGAGCCTACAGGGTCACACACAATAGGGATGGACAAGTACGTGTGCTATATTATCCCGATTAGGAATCCTAATTGGATTGAGATTCCTAATTGGAATAGGAATCCTAATGGGATTAGGAGTCCTGTTATGTATAGGAATCCTAATGAGATTAGATTTCTATTACATCTAGGAAACCTAATGAGATTAGAATTCTAATAGGTTTAGGAAACCTAATTAGATTAGGATTCCTATTAATCTATTCCTTGTCAAATTAGGATTTTTGGAAAGTCTATATAAGGAGAATGTCTTCTAGGGTTTTAAAAGAAGATAAAAAAAGAAAAAAAAAAGAAAAAAAAAAGCAAAAAGAAAAAAAAGAAGGAAAATAAAACCCTAAGCCTCCAAAACCCTTGCACACAAGAGAGATCGAGATCTCTAGTCCTAGCAGACAAGTTCCAAGGTGTTGGAATCCATCCCGACGTGTGGATACGTGTAGAGGGCGAGGTATTCTTCCTGCCTAGAGTGATCGGACGAACAGATCAATTGATACAGGCCCCGGATCGATTGAGGTAAGCGTTCTAACGTTTCTATGATTCAATAGTAGCATGGTTCTAGGGTTTCATTAAAATTTTTGTTTTATATCCGCTGCGCAAACCCTAGAATCGATCTCTTAGGAATTAGATTCGCTCATGAGATCCCAGGAAACCCAACAATGTCTCTCCGGTTGGTATGCGCACAGTGAAATCACTCCTTGGCTCGATCTCTCCTGTCTCAAGGCTCTCCGCCACTCCCGCACTCAGGAAACTATGGGTCGCCCCGGTATCAAACAACGTATAACAGGCAACTCCACAGAGATATAGGGTACTTGAGATCGCGGCAGCCTCGGCTCCATCAGGGTGAGCCTCCTCCTCCTCTTCCTCCTGGATCTCCTGCTCGGCACCAAGAGCATAATAAACTCTCGGGGCTGCTCCAGTCCTTGCTGGCGGTCGGGGTGGTCTCGGTGCCAGAGCCGGTGGTCCCATAGTCCTCGTCGAACAACGTGATGCAATGTGTCCAGGCTGGTTGCAACGATAACAGATCAGTGATCCCCTCGTCGCCAGTGGTGGTGGGGCATGAACAGCGGGCGCCTTGCCCTTGTCGCGTGGGTTGCTGCTCCGGACGTTCTTCCCATAGGAACACGTACCAAAGCACTTCTTGAAGGGGCTCCGCTCACGAGTCTTCCCTTCCTTCTTCTCCCGCTCCCCATGCTCCACCTTCTCCAGCTGCGAGATATACCGACTCAACGTCGGGTACTCCTGAATCTCGATCTTCCTCCGCAGGTAAGGTCGAGTCCGGCAATGAACTTCTGGATCTTCGACGCCTCGGTGGGCACCAGATGCCCTCCATACATCAGTAGACGGGTGAACTCCGCCTCGTACTCGCTGACAGTCATGTCCCCCTACTGCAACATGAGGAACTCTGCCACACAGTACTCACGGTCCTGTCGCCGGAAGTACTTCGCCTCGAACTCCTGTCGTAACTCCTCCCATGTGAAGCGATGTCCCGCTGATGCCTCCTGTACCACCTTCGCCCACCAATGTCAGGCCTGACCCGACAGATGATGGCTCGCAATCATAGCCCGGTACTGGTACGAGCACTGCAGATACTCCAAGTCCTGAGAGATCTGGGTGAGCCACTCCTCCGCAGTTTCCGGTCTCACCGATCCCTCGAATTGCAGGGTATGCATCGCCCGCAACTCCTTGACGATGGGGAGGTGTCCCACCATCGCAGCAGGTATCGGCGGCTGGTGTAGATCCTCCTCCCTCGGCTCCTGGTCTCTAGCCGGAGGTGGTGGTGGGGCGTGAGCAACCAGGTGCTACCACACGGTCTCCTGAAATTGACGAAACTCAGCCCTCCGCCCTTCGTCTCCTGGGTTAGGCGGTGGAGTCTGTTCGGGAACGTCGTCACCCCTCGCTGCAAGCCTAGCACGTCGTGGCGCCATTTCACTGCACCACATTTAAGACAGTTTAGCAACTGACGACCGATATTGTATCATCGATGTACGAACCTCGATAGGTGAGGATTTTCTTCGTACATGGTTTGAAAACATTTTTCGTAGAAAACCGTTGGGTAATGAGCATGATTCCTTCCCGAGGAAAGAACGTGGCTCTGATACCAAAAGTTGTGACACCCGTAACCCATGTACAGTATACGGGCTATGCTACATGGACGATGTACAATAAAATAATAATTTGCGGAAGCGAAAATATGAAAGGGATATCATTATAATCTTTGGCTTGAAGTGGTTAAAATCGAAATGATTTGAGTGACGGGGATATGTGGATCGATGTTTGGATGATGAATGATATGTTGATTTGGGTCACAACGATATAGGTGATAGGGTTCGATGTAAATTAGGTCGCAAGATTGGTTCGGTCAGATGGTCACAAGTGACTTGGTCATAGTTCACAGGACAATAGGTCACATGGTACCAGGGCAATAGGTCACATGACAATTGGTCACGTGGTACCAGGACAATAGATCATAGGTCACAGGAGAATAGGTCACATGGTACTATGTCACATGATCACAGGTTCATAGGACAATAGGTCACATGGTACCAAGACAATAGGTCGCATATCAGAGGAGAATAGGTCACATGGTACTATGTCACATGGTCAAAGGTTCATAGGACAATAAGGTCACATGGTACCAGGACAATAGATCACAGGTCACAGGAGAATAGATCACATGGTACTATTTCACATTGTCACAGGTCACATGATAAATACCAAGTGTTACACGTCGGAGACAATAAAAAAACTGAAAGACTTTTTAAGCCCTGAAGAATGGAGGTATTTCAGTCATGAGTCGATGGTACTATTTCACATTGTCACAGGTCACATGATAAATACCAAGTGTTACACGTCGGAGACAATAAAAAAACTGAAAGACTTTTTAAGCCCTGAAGAATGGAGGTATTTCAGTCATGAGTCGCAGTTTCAGCACTTATTTCACATGCAATTTGATGGAACGTTGAAGATGGCTCCAGCGGCATTCCTCGTAAACCATTGTGTGAGTGTGGAGGACGAAAAAGAATTATGGTTTGTTCTAAATGGTGTGTCCATTAGATACTCCATCGTTGAGCACGCTCTCATATCCGGATTGAAATGCGGTGAGTATCCGGCTAGATGGGAATATATGCGGAAAAGTCAGTTCAGAGTGAAGAACTTTTGGAAATCGAAAGGTGTCTAAGGAGAGTGTGATAAGACATCTCGAGAAGACGACAATTCAAAGGACTGCTGATAGGAAGAAACTGGTTGTTATCATGTTGCTTGGAGGAATATTTGATCATGGCACCACACATGAGTTTATAAACCATGATTTGGTGGACATGGTGGATGATTTGGCATTCTGTGAAAGATTTCCATGGGGATTTACACATTTGATAAAATGATTGAGCAAGTAAGAAAGAGCTTCGGAAGTGGAAGGCCGAAGAAAAAATGGCACTGTCGGGGGTTTATAATCCCTTTTATGATAAGAGTTTTTCACTATGTGTATAAATTAAAAGTGCCGTTATTACTTGATTTGTTTTGGAATTTAATATTTACACAATATGTTACAGTTGTTTCCTTTCGAATGTATCTCAAATTTGGGTGCCAACGGGATGTACAAAGACGTCGAGGGAGCGGATCCGACGTGTCCCAGAATGTGCAAAGTCCGTCAAAGCAAATGTCAGATGGAGTTTCAACACTGTTATAGACAAGATTGGCACTAAATCAAAGGTACGCAGAAAATAGGACATGGTGTTGGTCACAGGTTTCATGGTCACATGGTACCATGTAACACGGTCACATGGTACTGTGTAACTCGGTCCCATGGTACCGTGTAACTCGGTCACATGGGACCATGTAACACGGTCACATGGTCACATGATGCATATAGTAACAATAAGTCTCATCTATTTTTCAGGGGATTAAGAGCATACTTAAGAAGGAAGCGACATAAGAAGCTCTTCTTTTTTATCTAAAGGATCTCGATGGAAGTGAAGATCCAACGGTTAAAGTATGGATGCAATATCTTGAGAAGAATCCGGAGAGCATATACTGGAAAAATATCTATGAAATGGAAATTCGTTCCAGAAATTCTTCAAAGAAAAAGAAGAAGGGAAAAAGTTTGGTAGATGAAGGTGAAATAGAAGATGAGCGACGAGGAGAAGAAGAAGAAGACAAGAACCACAACAACGACAACAACAACAACAACCGCAACAAAGACTCCTACCACAATAGGTGATACAAAAGGGAGCACAAAGAGTTCACGGAGTGTCAAGTCTCGAAGCACTGAAGACCGAATTGAAGACCGATTTCAGGGCCGAAATTAAAGCAGTCGAGATCAGAATCGTTGATGCTGTGAGAGGGCTTTTAAAGGAGGTTGAACTCCTTGGAAAAGAGAGATTTGTACCAAGTCCCACAGTGCAAGAACCCGGTGACCGATACGGCAGATAAGGACATATCTACGCCCAGGTCCACAGTGCAAGAGAACCAGAGAAAAAGTCCTGTTGCGAAAGAAAGAGTTACGACAAGTCCTTTGATGGGTTCTGTCGGTACCGACGAATATTATGACCAAGATGTTGGAGTTTTTGAGTTAAGACTGAGAGATATGACTTCATTGGAGTCAGAAAAAGAGAAGAAAACTGCCCAGGAGGCATTGGTTACGGAGAAAGAACCCTCTCCTAAGGAGAAAGAGGCATCGAGTAAGGAGAAAGAGCTCTCGCCTAAAGAGGTTAAGCTTTCTTCCATGGACGTAGAAGTAGGAAGTAAGTATTCAAACTTTGTCATTTGGTCACATGGGACCATGTTCAACCGGTCACATGGGACCATGTAACATGGTCACATGCATGGTCCCATGTGACCATATTTACTTGGTCACATGGTTTAATCTGAGTGTATATCTTGTTTTTTATTCAGGACATGTCCCCGAAGAAGATGCTAAAGAAAATGATAGTGACGATGATGCTGGTAGTGACGATGAGAACACGGAAGAAGAGGATGACGCCGATGGTGATGAGGGTGAGGCAACCGAAGAAGATTCTGAAGAGGATGACGCCGATGGCGACGAGGGTGAGGAACCAAAGAGGATGAGACAACCGATGAATCTTCTGACAAAGAATCAACTACTAAACCCAATGAAGATACGGATATGTCTGTCCCCCTGTTGAACATGAAGTCAATCAACCTCCACCAGAAGGTTCCATGACTCAGGAGAAAGAGTCTGTTGCTGACTCCTCTGATACATAGCAATTGAAAAGAGCCAAAAGGAAGCTTGCTGATGGGCCATCCAAAAGAAGTCCTTATGTGGAACCAATATCAACTGGTCCACCGACCAAAAGAACTCGGTCTCAGGAAGTAAGAGGTCGAGGCAGAGGCAGAGGTCGAGGCAGATGTAGAGACAGAGGCAAAGGCAGAGGCAGAGGTAGGGGCAGCGGCAGAGGCCGAAGCAACAGAGGCCAAGAGGATGTTGCTGAGGAAGACGAGGATGAGGAAGAACCTTTTGAGGATGACATTGCTGCGGTCGGAACTGAGAAAGGAATTCTGCCTTCGTCGAGTGAAGAAAAGGTATTTGTATGGAATCCATAGCGTGTCAACCCGCGTGGAGGTCTCATCAGGACTCCGGGATTTGTAGAAGCATCTGGTCCACAAGCCAACGCTCTATGGGAGTTCATAAAGAAGCCACGAGAGGCACGATTATGGAAGTCAAAATTGGATGGAATACGTTGTTGGTTTAGTGCCTATGATGTACTGTTTGCGAGCTTTCTTTGGATACATTTGATGTATTGATACTTTCTATAGTTTTATAAAAGTGTTTGATTCATTACATGTTGTACATACTAGATATGTTGTGAAATCCATGTATTGTTATGAACAATACTAAACTCCCTAATCATGTATCATTGTGGGAATAATGATATAATAAGACTAGTATGATGTGTGATTGATGATCATATAGATTATCATAGGTATTGGATACGATCACAGTCATAGGTATTCGTTGGAGAACGGAATACTGCATTGACCCGCATGAGATTGTCACATGGACTAGCGTCATGACTTGGATCACATATGGCGGTTCCATGATTGGATCCTAAGACCTGAGATATCTACGGAATCCAACATGAGGAGTTGCGTGCTTTGAATACGTCAAACGTCCTGCGTAACAGAAGGACTATAAAGGCGTGTATCAGGTACGAAACGAATCATGTGCTGGATTGTAGATAGTCAAGACGGGATTTGTACCTCTCGTAAAAGAGAGAGATATCGCTGGGCCCCTCGTGTGAGCGAGACTGTAGAAATGTGTCGCCGCACTATAGACGAACGTCGTCTATTACAGACAGTCGAACTCAGTGAACGAGAAAGCAGTCGAATCAGATAAGGTGGTTTGTCCATGCCTTATGTTCGACATATGATATCGCGATATAAAAGGATCATCAGCCGGAATCATCACTGGCATTCGTAAGATCACGAACAAACTCTATTCGAGATAAGTAGTCATAGTGTCTTGCTAGAGACCGCCTATGACTTGTATATCCGAAATAGAGATTTCGGGTTATACTGCTATATCGAATGAGCCTACAGGGTCACACACGTAGGCACGAGAGAAAACGACAAAAACCGAGACGCAAGGGTCTGGAACGGACGGACCAGAAGGGCGGACCGAACGGTCCGCCTGGTCCAGACCCGACGGTCCAGAACGCAGTCCATTTGTTCTAGAAGGTCTGGAATGGACGGTCCGTTCAGGCAGACCGTCCGTTCTGGCTTGCTGGAACGGATGGTCCACGTGCTTTCCTGGACCGTCCGTTCCGGGCTTCGTGCTTTTCCGAAATTAAACCGAAATTAGGGTTAAATCACTTTATAAGATTAAACCCTAATGAAAGGTGGCCGACTTTAAAACACTTTTGACAGATTTTTTTGTGAGATCCAAGAGGTTGAGAGTGTGATCGAAGTCCCGTTTTCTCGAAGCACAAAACCGAATATCAGATTTGGGTCCTAGCAGACAAGTTCCAACCGTTGGAATCCACCCCGAGTGTGGATACGTGTAGAGGGCGAGGTAATCTTCGTCCCTTTCGTGATCAGACGAGTTCTTCGATTGATACAGGCCCCAGATCGATTGAGGTAAGCGTTCTAACGTTTCTACGATTCATAGAAGCCATGGTTCTAGGGTTAAATTTTTGTTTTATATCCGCTGCGCAAACCCTAGAATCGATCTCTTAGGAATAGGATTCGCTCTAGAGATCCCAGGAATTCCATCAGTGGTATCAGAGTCTGGTTTCTCTGTTTTGATTTCGTTGAACCCGATCACGCACGTTTTAGGATTTGAATTGTTTGAATCCATGTTTGCTTTGATTTCTATGCATGTTTGATGATTGAATCTAGTGTAGATTGCATGTTTCATGTTGCATAGATTGCAGGAGTTTGAATTTTGGATTCACAGAAGAATTCAGATCAGTTTTGGGTCTGATCGGGGCCGAGAACATCGGGGAACGTGATCTGATCACAGACGAACCCTAGACCGTCCATTCTGGGTAAGCCAGACCGGAGGTCCGGCGGTGGCGGACTGCACAGATCAGAACGGATGGTCCGCACTGGCCCGTCCGTTCCGTCTGCTGCGGACCGTCTGTTCCGGCTTGTCTCGGGGTGGAACATCCGTTCTGACTTCTGAAGTCTAGACCGCCGGTTCTACCAAACCTAGAACGTCCGTTCTGCATCCAGAACAAACGGTCCGAGGTCCAGATTCCGAAATTTTTCGTTTTCTAAGTCTGATTATGCAATCGTTGCTTAATCTGATCAACTGTAACTCAATTAGCATGATTCATTCGTATGGATGGTCCATAGTGAATGAATGCATGTAACTTGATCAAGATATGGGATATGCTTGATTGAGTGGGAGCTTCGAGATTGGGATTACATAATCGAATGGATGGTCTATTCTGATTATGTACAATCGTTGCACAGAAACCGGTTAGATCTAGGAGCTCTATGAGTAAATCACTTGTCAAGGCCTCGATCGTACGTGTCATGGGTGTGTCGTGCTATCTTGGTGAGGCAAAATGGAGAAATGGTGGTTCTCGTAGCTTGAAAATAGATGCTTGATCTAGTGTGGTTTCGAAAATCCTTTTTTCATGTAATGCTAAGTGTGTACCTCCCATTGGTAGAGCGCCTATCAAGGCATCGATCATCCGTAACACGGGTCATGCCAAAGCTGAGCGTGTCGGATTATCTTTGTGAGGCAGGGTGGGAAATCGTGGTTTCCACAGCTTGAATATGGTTTACCTTAGGTTAAGTTGTCGAGTTTGACTCGAGACTTAATGGTACAGATGAGACAATTATGCAATGATATTTGATATCATAGTCTCATAAAGGATCTAAGAGTCATATTGGATATGATTGACATTAGATGTCTACCTAAATAGCATAAGCCTGGGTGTAACAATTTAGTCTTATGTGAAATACGGATCTTAGTCCCATATAGAACATTATTGTAGGGTTAGTTTTCTTTATGGGGATATAGCTTATGTTTGCATCTATGTTGTCATTGGTTGATGATGGACTAGCTGGTAGTAGATCATGGATATGTTGACATTAATTGATGATGGACTAGCTGGTAGTAGATCATTGATAGAATCTGCATTTGTTTTTGTTCGTTCTGTTTGTCTTTTTCTGTAGGACATGGCGTCAACAGTAGCGTACCGAGTTTGACGATGCGATCTATCCTTGAGAAGGATAAGCTTACCGGGACGAACTTCTTGGATGGGTATCGTAACTTGAGAATTGTTCTCAAGCACGATAAGAAGCCGTACGTCCTAGAAGGGGCTCTACCACCAGAGCCTGCGGCCAATGCCACGAGAGCCGTCAGGGATGCTTGGTTGAAGCATCAGACTGACGACAATGAGATCTCCTGTCTCATGCAGGGAAGCATGGCCCCGAATCTGCAGAGGCAGTTTGAGGAAAAGAGTGTGTTTGATATGATCAACCAGCTCAAGACCATGTTTCAGGAGGTAGCGTGTACTGAAAAGTACAAGACGCTAAAAGCTCTAGTGAAGACGGATATGCCGAGAGGCAGTTCTGTCAACACCCACGTCCTCAACATGCGAGCTCATGTTGAGGAACTTGAGCGTA